GGATTGTTCCTCTACCAACAACATCACATGCAGCATTATTGCCCATCAAAACAATTCCACCATTACAAGATTCATATGTGGAAAACAAATCCCTATTGGGACACATGTGATAAGAACAACCTGAATCTAAAATCCATTCATTTTTAGACCTTGTCCTGTCATCAGTAGCAAAGAAAATATTTCCAAAATTCTCATCAGATGCTACACTAGCTTCAGCGGATTCAGTAGTTTTTTCAACAAATTTTTCCTTTTGCTTTAATTTATTTTTCAATTTAAAGCAATCAGATTTAATGTGCCCCATTTTATGACAATATCTGCATTTCAAATTTCTATGTCTGGATTTAGATCTAGATTTAGATCTACTACTGTCAAATTCTCTTTTATCCATTCTCCCCCTAACAACCAGACCCTCAGCCTGATTCTCTCTACTTTCCCCAGTGATATTCTTGTCTATCTGCTCCTTAGATTTCAGTGCAGATTTAATTTCTTGATACGAAACTGTTTCTTTTCCATAAATCAAAGTATCACGGAAATGCTTAAAAGATTGGGGAAGAGAACACAAGAGTAACAAAGCCTTATCCTCATCATCAATTTTTGCATCTATATTCTCCAAATTCATAACCAAAGAATCAAACTTATCAAGATGCGAGAGTATAGATGTACCTTCAACCATCCGAAGCATATACAGTCTCTGCTTCAAGTAGAGACGATTCTCCACTGTCCTCTTCATGTACAAGGCTTTAAGTTTGTCCCACATGCTCTTAGCCGTAGTCTCCGTAGCTACCTCCCGTAAAACATCATCAGAGAGATTTAGAATGATGCTGGATCGGGCCTTCTTATCCATACCCGCAAGATCTTCCTTTGACGTACCATCTGGAATGTTCTCAGCACCCTGAAGTGCCAAATCAACTCCGTCTTGAACCAGAATGGCCTCCATCTTGAGTTGCCACATGCCGAAGTTGACATTTCTGTCGAATTTCTCGACAACAATCTTTGTTATTGTCATTGTTGCCAAAAGATCCCAGAACCAGGCTCTGATACCAGTTTGTTAGAACTAGCCCCAGGATATTTACCAAAGGATAATTTTGGCAACACAACAAAGACAATAAAGCGGAAAGAATAAAAGCGACAAGAACAAACAAAACACCAGAACACCAGATATACGTGATTCGGTCAATTGACTTTGACCTACATCCACGGAAGAAAGAGGAGCAAATTACTACTATAAAAGAGGGACACTTACAAATGCCTTAGGAAATGTTCCTAGGCCATAAAACACCTTCAGCTTCCTAAACAAGAAGACTTCAAACCATAAGCAGGTTTTCTTGTGATGCCTGCTGTACTTCTTGTGGTGTCTGTGGTACTTCTCGTGGTGTGTGTGGTACATCTGACTTCAAAGCCCAGGCCCTTATTTATAGTTCCAAGACGAGACAACAAGTCTGATTTTCCCGATGTGGGACTATGGGACTTGCCAAACTAACAGAAGAAGCCCCAGTCTACACAGGCGTGGTGGAGCTTAGCAGACTCTTCCCGAGAGAAACGGTGATGGAGGAGCCTGGAGAAATCGATGACCGGAAGCTCGCTGTCGCCGTCGCTAGCGACTGGATCAGCCTTGGCTTCCGGCCTGACGTATCGAGGAGGGACGTCAGCCGGGTTTGCGATGGAAGCTGCAAGAGCTTGGACGTTCGGTACGTCAATGGACGTTCCCAGACACTGAAAGCTCGGTTTGGCCATCTCGCGAAGCAAGCAAGCGCGCACACACACCGCTTACGAAGACCGACACCTCTCAGCTCGGTTGGTTTGGTCAGGTAGCAGCTTCGACAACATTTATAGAGAGAGAAGCTTCGCTTGGTTGTCTTGCTTCTCAGCCACTAATCTGCCCACCATTGCTGTCTACCAAAAAGCTTATCTCTTTGTAGTGGATTCAGTCTTCTCAACAGTCATCGTCCTACCACTGAAGACAACTCGAGTAGTTCCACTGCGACCTTTTTGTAACAGCTAACTTAGTAAAAAAATTTCTTTTAAAAGTATCAGCTAACTTATTAAAAATTTGATGATTCATTCATTGTAAGATCATGAATTCGAGTTTTATTTGATGATTGATAGTAAAAATTTTTGTTTTAAAAGTATCATCTAATTTAGTAAAATTATCAGCTAACTTATCTTTATAAAAAAAATAAAAGAATATCATCTGTCACCCCTGAAACCTCATTGGAAAAGAGAGATATTAGGTTAAATAAAATTCTTATCACTAAATAAATTACTCTCCCATTTCTATCAATTCAAGTGCCTGACTTCTTATCGGCGATGCTTGCTACAGAAAATGCAGCTAGTTATTGATAAGCATTCCGTGTTATGAAAGAAATATATTTTATCTCACCATATGAATGGACACCAATGCGATCCAAGACCCTGAGCTGTCAAGTCGTGCATCAAACTTTTGATGCACGATGATCTAATAATAGTATGCAAACAAGCTTTTCTTACGGATAGTACATCAATCACACACCACATGAATCATCATCGTACAAGATTCCAACTAAGTTCATCTTCCCTAGACACACTATGGCGTACGATGATCTAATCATATTAGCTATTTTAACAGTAAAATGTAGCAGCTGGGACTAATAATAATTAAACATTCAGCTGTTCGATTGCAACCGGAAGAATTACGACATATAAGAAGAACAAAAAAAAAAACACACCGCCCATGGGCTGTCTCACCCAGAATTCGCAGCTGGCAATGATAAGGACTGATCCAGTCAGCAAGAGCTCCTCTTTCTGAGATCAAGAAGGATTTCTCCTTCACATAGCTCTGCAGTTTCTTCGAGTCATAGTCCAGTCGTTATTGATCTACACAAGCAGCAAAACATGACAGTTTCAGCAACAGATTGTAGTTATCACGACACAAATGCGTCGACGTGGAAGAACAGAGCACTTATTTGTCTGATAACATTGATTGATTTAAGAGGTACAACCATAAATAGTAGACCATGAAATGTTCATGGTCGACGGTTAAAGCATCGAGAGAAGTCCACTTCACAAAGTAATCAGTTAAAAGCGTTTTTCCATAAGTTTGTAACAATGGGCACCAGAATGACATCCACCGCATAGAAGTAATTGCTATGCAAGCAACACTACCAATATAATTAAGCATTGCAAATGAACCACTTAGAACAAACCGCCATAGTAAAGCAGACATTGCCACGGGAAAAACAAAGAAAACAGTCTGCTTAATTTAAACATTAAAATTTTTGTATAAAATCACCATACCTGCATAAACAATAATACGGACTTGTAATATAGGTTACAGTTAACAACAAACATAATAAGCTCATACATGCATTCCAGCATATCGAATTCAAATGGATACATACAAAATGACACTTTGAAAACACTGAACAAGCAGACAAAACAGCAGTGCTATCTTCTGATCATTCTCAACTGATGCGTTCAAAAAATGAATGTTCCATCCACAATCCTTAACCCTAATCAACAGAGTAGCCATCAACCTCGTCAAGGTGGTAACATGATGTAACATACTATACTACCTACATTTTTTAGTCATAAACACACACAAATAAAAGAAGCACTTCGTTTGCACTTTGATTATAACATATCTCAGTCATTCAACTTTGCATATGCATGATAGCACAAAGAAGCACTCTGTTTGCACTTTGATTATAACATATCTCATTCATTCAACTATGCATATGCATGATAGCACAAACTCTACAATCACACATGGGTATCCATGCACATATTCCGCTATAGTCATCATCAAGATGGTCCTTTGATAGAACAAAAAGAAAACCGCATGACTGGACTAAAAAATTTTTACACTGAGATGGCAAAAAAAACCAATGAGTTTGGATACATTTCTTGACCCCGAAGCAACTTTATAATTACCATAACTCTGCAAAAGCATTCCTATTCTTTGTTCATAGTAAAAAATCAGTCTTAGTGGAAATAAGCAAAAAAATGAAAGTATCACCTATATTCTCAATTTCAAAAGAATAACAATCTCACCATGTCCCAAAATCCTCGACGTCCTGTCACGGACTTAGCTGATTTTGCCTAAGTCGTGCGGCACTCTTGCGTGTCCGTCCGCAAAGGTCAGCCTCCCCGAAACCTCCCATGGTCCCTTAGGACCAACAAAAGAGAGAACGGGTTAGAGAAAACGCCTCAATCGGGATCCACAAGCAAACATCTCCGAAAACACTTCATAGCCAATGCAAACTACAAACGGACTTTACAAGCTCAGAACGGTTGCACAACAAAGGGTCTACTACATACCGATTATCTCTTACAAGTGTTCACATGACACAACCTTTATTTACAAGTCTACAACGGCCACCAAACCCAACTAAAATGAGATTATTAAGCCTTCGACCGTCCCTCTACATGCTGTGCAAAGCATAAACAAACCAAAAGAAACGGACATAAATAAGCATTACATCAAACATCCTACATCCTGTTTAGAAGTTTGTCCGTGACAGCCCGTCAAATGTATTAAGCCAACTCTTCTTCTCTGAGCACATATAATTCGAGTGAACAGTTGATATATGAAACATCTACACTACGTGAATTCAAGTGACAGTAAACACGTAGAATACAACATGTGAAACAGTTATCGTCACATCCAACACAAATCAACGACCACAAACACCTCAACCGATTTCGTATAAGCATTATCACAAGCACAAGAGTTACAATCCGTTCGGTGTCCGATGTGAAGCGGGCATTCGATGAGGCATGCACTGAAATTACAAGAGATCTCATGGTATTTGGACGAGTCTGCCAACAGTCAAGCATATGCTTCATAGAATTTGTTCCTAACATAAAGAAAGAAGAAGCCCCTACCAACCGAGGTTGGTTGTTGATGTTCCTGTAAACCGATCACAGTAACAAACTGGGATGGCACGCTCGTGTAACTTCGACGTGACACACAACAACGACGACATGTTATCAGAAAGAGAAGTAACACCGACAACAAAAGATGAAGCATATTGTACGAACTAAGAACACGAATGGAAGAACAGGGCATCGATAGAAGAACAAGATCGAGCGAAAGAGACCGGAAGACTGGCGGGGCGTCACGGCGGAGGACAGCTTCTGACCGGCCCTGGAGAACTGGGAGCGGGGCGAGCGTGCGAGCGAGCGAGACAGAGGACCGACCATCAAAGGCATGGGGGACGGCGAGCCCCCGAGTGGAGCCGCGACGGTCATCAGAGGCCCAATTGCGCATATGGGTCACACAGCTTGGGCCGGGCGTCGACTTATATTGATAAAAAAAGGGTTGAAATTATATATATATATACATATACATATACATATACATATATATATATATACATATACATATATATATATATACATATACATATATATATATATACATATACATATATATACATATACATATATAATTGGACCTCAACCAATGGAGAGGTTTTGCCGGTTTGGTGGACTAAGCAATGCAATACAAAAATAGGACACAAACTATTATAATTGCATATCCCTTTTGTGATGGAGAATATAAAAGTAATATGAGATTTCCAATGAGATGATTAATTAGTTTGATATAATGCCAAATAATTCTTAGAGCTGAGTTACGAATCTACACCTAATCACTCCGATGATCAACAGAAAGCGCACCACCAACCACCAACCACTCCCAAATATTATGTAAAATGTCTGACATATCCTCCAAAACTTTTATATATATTCATTTTGCACTTAAACGTGCAAAACTATTTCTAGAACATTTTTGGCAGCGGAAGTTACCAATATTACCAATGTTAATATGTATTAAGCTAATTCAATAGTAAATCTCTTGATAATTAATATCAATATTATGAAAATTGAATTCTGCCTTCACATTAAATTAATTATAAATAAGGAACAAAATGTCATCACATTCTTTTGGTGAATCTCATTTCACCGTTCTACATCAAACTTGTCTGAGGAAATTGGACTGTTGCTGTCCTCACCTCCATTATGCCCAATAAATATAAAGCAGGGCGGTTGGTCGGTTACTAATCATAATTAGAGCGGCTATTAACAACATTAAGCCTCTCCTTATTAGCTGTCACCGTCCATATTATTCTAACGCCCCTGCAACTACGCCAAGTCATTGGGTTTGATGATCGGCCGCGCCGGGGATCAGTTCATGCGCATATAAAGTCCCATGCGTCCATCGCTTCCGTGTGCTCGAGGCCAGCGGTGACACAACATGGTGAAGCTCACATTGGGAAGCCTGGGCGACTCTTTCAGCGCGGGGTCTCTCAAGGCCTATCTTGCTGAGTTCATCGCCACCCTCCTCTTCGTGTTCGCTGGCGTTGGCTCCGCCATTGCATATGGTAGGTATCTCATACGTGTTCTTGTAGAACATGGAGTTCCAGGAGCGGAGCAACGTAACGCTTTTGCATGCAGGTAAGTTGACGTCTGGTGCAGCGCTGGATCCGGCGGGCCTGGTTGCGGTGGCCCTCGCTCATGGCTTGGCCCTCTTCGTCGGCGTCTCCATGGCGGCCAACATCTCCGGTGGCCACCTTAACCCGGCTGTCACTTTCGGGCTCGCCGTGGGCGGCCACATCACCCTCCTCACCGGCGTCTTCTACTGGATCGCCCAGCTCCTCGGCTCCACCGTCGCCTGCCTCCTCCTCAAGTTCGTCACCGGCGGCATGGTAAGCGACACCGCATACTCTACCACCCCATGTGTCCGTCGATCACCTGTCGAGGTCTCCATTCACTGAGGTCGCCTTCTGTCCGCAGGCTGTACCGACGCACGGCGTGGCGGCCGGCATGAGTGAGCTGGAAGGCGTGGTGATGGAGGTGGTCATCACCTTCGCGCTCGTGTACACGGTGTACGCCACGGCGGCGGACCCGAAGAAGGGGCCGTTGGGGACGGTGGCGCCCATCGCGATCGGGTTCATCGTCGGGGCCAACATCCTGGCAGCCGGGCCCTTCAGCGGCGGCTCCATGAACCCGGCACGGTCCTTCGGCCCCGCGGTGGCCAGCGGAGACTTCTCCGGCAACTGGGTCTACTGGGTGGGGCCGCTGATCGGCGGCGGACTGGCCGGGCTCATCTACGGCGACATCTTTATCGGCTCCTACGAGGCGGTCGCGGCGCAGGACTATCCGTAAGCTGTAAAGCTGTCGTCGAGTCGGGTTGGCGTCATCCTCCTGCGTCTTGTTTCTGTGTCTTCCTTTATCTGCTTGTAATAATAATATGTACATATAAGAGTACATAACCGGTCTTCGTGAAGGTGTATTCGCTATCCTTAGTTTCAATGTTGTATGTTGTGGGTTGTGGAGTCAAAATTGGACAAATTGGTCAAACATATGTTTCCTTAATTCTAATCACTTTCTTCAATGTTAGTTTTTCCATACGAGAGAGAGAGAGAGAGAGAGAGAGAGAGAGAGAGAGAGAGAGAGAGAGAGAGGTTATAATGGTTTCCCAAGAGTGATATGAAAGAAGTCACCAGGAGACGAGCTCTTCCTCGCAGGCAAAGGCAAAGGCAAGGGGGAAAGATGATGATCGAGATGCCGAGCTTATCCTCTAGAAGCACTTTTGTCACAGGTCAAGTCGTCAGTCAATTCCTTAAACACAATACTGTACGTGTGATCCACCATAGAAAACTCCAATGGGCGCGTTAAACTCATTGAGGTCGGTTCTCAGCGCTTCATGCAAGGCAAGACGTGTCAATGAGGAAGAGCAAGTCACGCCTCCTCCCCACGCGCATCCGTTTGCACTCAAAAAGCAGAAAGCAAGATGATGTATGCTGTCATTCGACGTGGGTTGGCCACAGCCCAATCATTGTTGTTCAAACGTGCTTGAGAGTGAGCGGAAGGGACACCAATTAAAGATAGAAAATTCTTGCAGTGTGTTGCCTTCATTTCTGTAACATGATTCACCTATTAGAAGATATCGGCGTCTCCTCTTGTTCTTTGCATATGAAGAAGGCAAACCTTGCACTTCCGATCTCATGGAGATTGTGATACAGCACAGAGCAAGTTCTTGATGAAGAAGAGAGGCACCGACGGCAGATCTTCGTTAACCTGCCAACCGTTCACCGAAAGTCTCGTTGCATTGCATCACCAAACGCTTGAAGAACACAAACGGACGTAAAAGCTCGGAAATGCCGTCGCTGCTGATTCCTTCGTGTATCTTCGCCAACGGCTGAACTCAGACCAGAACAAAGGTGTGGGGAATCGCGGGGCAGCGCACGAGCCGCGCCGGGTAACCAGGAACACTTGTCGCCGAGGTCTCTGTCTCTCTCTCGTCGCAGTCCCGTGAACTCTAGTTCATCATTAACCCAGAGTACAAAGATGGGCACAGGGACTGCATCGCAACAGTAACAAGAAAGCAGGAAACAGTCGCAGCAAAAGGAGTGCAGGAGGCTGTCCACTGTCCACCTCTGGTCCCCCTTCTTGTGCTCCGTGCGGACTTCCTTCTTATATATATGCACGCGCGTCTGTCCGAAGTGACGTCCGAGGAAAGAAGAGCACTGATAGAGCAGTTGAAGAGATGGAGAAGGGATACTTGTGGGGGAGAAAGAAGAAAGACGAGATGTATATCTCGCAAGATTTAGTAGCAGAAGTGGAGGAGGAGACGTTGGAGGGTGGCTTGAAGATGCCAGCGATACCTCCGCCGCAGACGCCGCACGAGCCAATGGAGTTCTTGTCGAGGTCGTGGAGCGTGTCGGCGTCCGAGATATCGAAAGCTCTTCTGGCTGGGAATAAGAAGAGTAACTTCGTGGTGGATCAGTTGCCGGAAATGATGATACCGGAGAATCTGGTGATTGCCGCTGCCGGATCTCCTCAGAGCACTAGCAAGCGAGTAAGCTAATCTTCTGTAGCTATATGTTCGATGAATTCACCAGCTTAAGCATCCAATCCTAAGGCTAGTCGTTTGCTTCACTGTCACCTCACCAGTGGTGATTTGTTGTCAACGTTCTGCAGCCACGCAGAGGCATAAACTCCATACTTACCCACCATGCAACGATCGGGAAATGGTTTCACCACATGGAAACCAATCGAACCAAAGCGAAGAGCAAGGAGAAAGCTCGTGCCGAGAAAGCCCGAGTCCATGCCGCCGTATCCGTGGCTGGAGTGGCTGCAGCAGTTGCTGCCATTACTGCGGCCTCGACTTCGGAGAACCGGCCCTCGAAAATGAGTGCCGCCATGGCCTCTGCCACCGAGATCTTGGCGTCGCACTGTGTAGAGATTGCAGACCAAGCTGGAGCTGGTCATCAGCATCTGGCTTCTGCAATCCGGTCAGCGGTAGATGTCAAAACAGCCGGTGATCTGATGACGCTCACTGCTGCAGCAGCAACAGGTTCGAAGCTTAAATCCTACTCAAGAAGCTGCTGAGATTAACAAGACTCTCTGTTAATTGCTCTGCTTAATTCACCTTAACAGCACTACGTGCAGCGGCAGCATTGAAGTCGAGATCGCAAAGAGAAGCAAGGAACAATGCTGCTGTCATCCCTTACGAGAAGGGTCACCGTGGCAACCCAGATATCTGGCGCAAAGAAGGCGAGCTGCTCAAACGCACCGAACAAGGTATCAAGCTGGGAATCTTCTGAATCCAAGATCAAATTTACACAATAGTGCAACAATGAGAGACAAGATTCATTTCACTTTGCAGGAACTTTACACTGGAAGAGAGTGTCAGTCTACATCAACAAGAAGTCGCAGGTAAAGGGTCCGAAGCATGGCTATTGCTTGTTCTCAAAGATCTCATCTGTGCTAATGTAAGCGGGAACAATTCCCAGGTCATGGTAGAGCTCAAGAGCAAGCACATAGGAGGTGCACTTTCAAAGAAGAAAAAGAGTAAGTGTTCTGCACCTCAAATTCCAATCATCTGCTCCGGCATTATCTGACAAGAACTCTGATAACCCAGGTGTTGTTTATGGACTGTATGATGGGATTCCAGCATGGTCTGGGCGTGCAAGAGAATGTGCTGAACAAAGATGCTACTTTGGCCTGAGAACAGCACAAGGTCTGATAGAGTTCGAGTGTGAGAATAGTGTCAGCAAGAAGAAATGGGTGGATGGAGTGCACAACCTGCTAAGAGAAGTATCGGGTGAAGCTGAGCAAATAGAGGACTCCATGGAACTGCTAAACCTCAGCTGATGTGCCTTCAAAAAGATGAACAGCTTTGTCACCAAAGTGATGTTTGTATGCATATAAAGTGAAAGAAATTGGTTATTTTTACTCTATAAAATACTTCACTTCGACGGCACTACGAAGATGAGACGTGCGGAGCATATCTTAACCGTTCATTCCTTCCGCATTGGGATGACAACATAGATTGAAGACGATCCTCTTAATGAAACACAAGTATGTCGCACTGCTCCCAAAACGTTTCTTGAACCAGTGTTGCAGATAGCAAAATGTTGTTCCAGAAAACGTTTTCTTCGAACAACGGACGCTGCAGAATTCAATCGCGGTCGGCAACTTCGTAAACCACAAAGCAAAACGTTTTCAACATCACCGTCGCGCGCTTTCCGTTGGAATGCCACGTCGGAAACGTTTTCTATTTTTTCCAAGGGACGCTTCCTCCTCCACGAGGCTTTCCCCCCCTGCTTTCGAGGCTACACTTGGGAAGAAGACGTCGCCTCTCTCTCTCTCTCTCG